CCTTTTTAAAAGATGATGTGGAAAAAGTATTACGTCTTGGTCTTGATCCTTCCATCTTCGTTTGCTTATTGAGACTGTGTTTCTGCCAAGTAGCAGCGATGTTATATATTCTGCTTGAGATGTGCTAATTATAAAAGTCTCCTGCTATCAAGACAGTTTTATAACTAAAACAAAGCAAATATTGAAAGCATTGTTTTCATACAAGTTATCAATATTTTCATTTGCCTATGTTCATTTTGTATTCCATATCTATTAAAGCAACATGCCTCCAGATTAGGGCTTATTTTAATGAAAATCTTAGAATTTATAAAAAAGTAAAAATATGTGAAATAGACAAGGAAAATAATTTATACATTGCAAACGGCACTAACAATCCACGTTTATTACCAAAAAGAGGTCAAAATATGCAAAAAGGTAGAAATATTGTGATAAATACGGCAAAATCGACCATTTATCTTACAAAACATGTAAATAATTGCTTGAATCTTGTATCTTTTTTTTCAACGAAATCTAAGTAAATTTTTCTCACTTTGATTTTCCTGAAATATTTTGTGTCATTTAAAAACACTTTAACACGACTGATACGGCAGATAATTTCAGAAAATTTGGCTGTCCTGGTTGTTCCAATAATGGTTAATCATATCTATCGTTCTAAAAGTACACCTGCACTTTCATCTCATAACATGAGTCAAAATGATCAATAAACATCAAATAGGAATGTCAATGTTGGCGTCTCATGTAAACAACATTAGTTTTAATAACGCAACCATATATCGACCAAATCTACAATCGATGTTTTTTTTTATCAAAACACAAATGGTGAAACATTTCCATCATCCTTCTTAAGACGCGAGTTATCAACCATTGAAGCAATTAATGTAAAATAAATTGTTATGAAATTATTCGAATGATGGATACTGTAACATAGTCAACTAGGAGACCACACTTTTTATGTTTTTTAAGTTAAAATTACTTTAGATTTTGCCATTGTTGCATCCAATTTCATAGCCTTGTTCATATGTATATATTCAATGACTACATCGTAACAAGCGTCATAAACGGTTATGTATAAAATGAAATGAGCCGCGTCACGACAAAACCAACATAATGGGTTTGCGACCAGCATGGATCCAGACCAGCCTGCTCTTCCGCGCAGTCTGATCAGGATCCATGCTGTTCGCTTACCAACTATATTACAAGTAGAGAATCTGATAGCGAACAGCCTAGATCCTGACCAGACTGCGCGGATGCGGAAGCTGGTCTGAATCCATGCTAGTCGCAAACCCATTATGTTGGTTTTGTCATGACGCGGCTCAAATATGAAACAAATCTACTTATCATTTCTACTAGTATGTCCATATGACATAATTTGAGGAAAATACTTATATATTATTGGTCATGGCCAAATCTAAATAAATTCATATCAATTATGAAATGTACAAATAAAACTGTCTAGTTGTTGAAATCTGTATAGTCAGCGTTGCAACTAAGAATAAAATATATTTAATACATTTATTTGAAAACATATATATCCAAGTATATACAAAGAGAAATATGTTTGATCATTTATAATGTATCATATTTTTCTGCACGTTATAGTGTACCGCCAAAAAGTTTCAAATATATAAACGCGTGACTATTCATTCCATATTCACCCCTTATCTAAGTAATGATTAACTGGAACATTGAAATGTCATAGCATGTATTCCCTACAGTCGTTATTTTTAAGTAACGGCAATGTAGCGTTCAATCAATTTTAATTTAGATTGGCTTATTAATGTTAAATAAGTTTTAAAAAGTAACCATTCGTCCATTGAAGTATAACAAAGTACGGCATTTTCGTCCTGTTATCTATGTTAAAATCAGTTGTTTTGGTTATTTTGGTTTTATTAAAGTTTATACATAATTTATTTTAGTTTGTTTGTGTTGGAAGCTATAAGTTAATAGAAACAGTCTCGAATGCTTGCTTTTATAACTTTATTTCTTATTACACACCATTGGATGGTATTTGTAAAGATAGAGAAATTGACTAACAAATTAAAGCATGATATATGCAAAGAAGCAAGCAGCAATTTCTGTTTTCAGATGACTGATTGTTTTAATGATCTGCTGCATAATGCCATACAAAATACTTATATAACCTTAATTAGTATTCAATTTGTAAAAAGCAAACAACATTGGTGTATAAGGTAAATGTGGTGAATATAGAAATGAAACCATAGATTCACAACTGGAGATCAATAATACACTCATAAAATGCATGAGGGTTATGTCTGATGTCAAACTTACCTCGACTTTAGAATTCGAATATAATAAAACAGTTTATCACACACTCGTGCCGATTTTGCGACTCCGTAAATATGGTATTGCACGGCAGTGCATATATTTTGACGTGACGTCATTAGCGTTATACAATATTAGTGTAAAGACGCGCTAAATTTTAGCGTTAAATAGGCGCGTCAATGAAAAATGACTCTTGTTTCATTTTTAACGGTCTTTATTTTTGGTATGTGATAAATAGAATATTAAAATCGTGTAAGTTCATAACTGAATTTATTGCACTCGTTAAATAAAATAATATTATGCTCGCCAGAGGCTCGCATAATATATTCAACTCGTGCAATAAATTCAGTATGGAACTCACACTCATTCACTATCCTCTATTGATTGATCCATTGATTTTAATTGAACATTCTTTTGTACTTGAATGTTCTGTCGTTTTATTACTTTTCTAGAGCGGGAATAAAATAAATGTCACAGCCAGCTTAATTTATTTGAATGTTCAGCAGATTACTGAAGCATGTTGTCGGACCCACTTTCATACAGTTACCACAGTTAGCAGAACACATGTATGATGTATATTTGATAGGTCTTATTTGAAATTTCGTCTCTGCATAGAAAATCAAATCTTTATTTAAAAGCTATATTTAATAACTGTGTAACGAGTTAACAAACAAAAAAATCGACAGGCCCACTGAAATGTTAAATTTATTTGTTTGTTTACATTTTGGATGGGTTTCTTGTTGTTGTTAGTAAGTTAGTTGGTTAATTGGTTGGTTGGTTGGTTCTTGTGATCGTTCGTTTGTTCGTTATAGTTTACCTTAGTTTGTTAAATAGTTTGTTAGTTAGTGAGTAAGTTAGTTAGTTAGTTAGTAAGTTAGTTAGTTAGTAAGTTAGTTAGTAAGTAAGTTAGTTAGTTAGTTAGTTGGTTAGTTAGTTAGTTAGTTAGTTAGTTAGTTAGTTAGTTAGTTAGTTAGTTAGTTAGTTAGTTAGTTAGTTAGTTAGTTAGTTAGTTAGTTAGTTAGTTAGTTAGTTAGTTAGTTAGTTAGTTAGTTAGGTGAATCGCCCCGTCCTCAACTGTTTCTCACCATGAAAAATCTAGTACAGTTATCACAATGGAATATTAAAAGTTGCTCTGTCTCTGGATAAAAAGCTAATTATGCATCAGTAATGTAATGAAGTTTGTTCATCTAATAAGCTTCTAATATCATCTTTGGGTCAAACCTAACACGGGAAATTCGTTCATTAAGAGACAATTAAGGTCCTGCTAAATTGGACTCAATTTACCAACAATGTTAAAGACATAAGAAGTAATTGAAGGGCAAATGGTGATCTTTCTACTAGAGTTAAGCAAAAATAATCCCCCACACGCTAATTGACTTTATACTACAAAAAATATTGCTTGAATTTGTTATAATAACAAATAATTGTTGTTGTTGATGTTGCTGATGTGATTGTATCATTAGAAGTTGTGCTATTAACGGTATGAAAAACGTTTTCATGGTTTTCTAAGAAATTATATGAAAATGATAAATGGTTTATCTTGAAAAGAAAAAAATAAATGAGTTGTGAAGTTAAAAACTGGAAAACTTCTTTTAAACTGTCACTGTTACTTATTTAATGATGTACAGTCAATCAGTTTTGCGTACCCAAAAGGACTTAAAACTTTTGAAATAAGTAATGAAAGTCATATGAATCGCGCCTGCAACAGTTTCACTTTGGCCTTTTTTGACTTTCTGAATTCCTATTATCTCTATTCTGTAAATATTCACAATCTATCTTTATTTTTATTTTTACATTAACTCCAAACTGATCATTTTTTACGAAAACAATCGTAGATATCTGGATGAATTCCTCTCCATTTTGTTATTGGCAAACACATTTCTTGCAGAGTATCCGATCAGAAATGTTGGTTTGATTATGATACAATTTTGAAGAAATTATTTAAGATAAATCTCTACGAAAATCGTTCGAATATAAACAACAGAACAAATACCCCTGTAACTAAAAATAACATGCATGTATATCAGTATTTAGGACAATTATGGTCAATTTTTATAATTCTTACATTTGTATTTAATAGTGGTGAAAAAAATATGTAAAGTTAACGTCTTGAAAAATATTTAAAGATAGCAAATAAAAGTAGCCATGTTTCCTAAGTCAGATATATAAGATCATGTAAGTTATATTGAGTTTTTATATCTGTTTCTTAGATGTTAAATCTGTTTACTAGATAACTTTGAGAACATTTCATGTTATGGGAATGAATGTTGTTTAAATGCTAAATACGAAATAGAGGAAGATAATAATGACTTTCTTTAAGGACAAACTTGATTCACATTGATAAGTATGAAGGTATTTTTTTATTTTTTGCGGGAGGGGGGTTGTTTGTTTTTCTGTTTTGTTTTTGATTTTTTTCTTCTTTCTTTTTTGTTTATATATACATGTATTACACATCAGATTCTGTCTGAATTTAATCTATTTAGCATAAGCCATAATTTGCACATTTTGAAAACATACTAGTTTGTACACCAAAAGAGAGCAAAGTTGACAAAAAATAGACAAACTATATTAAACAAACATATGGATGTAATGATAATTCCTACTTCATTGACAAGCAAATACAATGTAGTTTTTCTTGTCAACTCATCTGTTGAGAAATACAAATGATAAATAATATCGCAGATATGATCATGCGTCCAGTGGTTAATCATCAGTGTGGAAACTATAGAAACGCTCCGCTTTGAAACTTATAAATAATTAAAGTATCGCACGCTGTAGGCTGTATAAAGAATTTAGTCACTTTGGTTAATATAATTTGAACAATATTCAAAAAGGACGTAAACTTGATTATTCTTTATAAGGGAAAACGTACGCAAATGTTCTAAATGGAGATATTTACTAAAACTGTTCATACTTTTATTATTTGGTTCGTTTGTATTGATATAATTGACGGAGTTATCATCAAAAATCAAACTTTTTATGCGGTAAATGATATGAAAATGCAAGACACAATATCAGTTTTGAACAGTTCAAGTGAATTACAATGTGGAAGATACTGTTTAAGTGAAGATCTATGTTGTTCTTTTGGTTTTACAGCAGCAACAAGAATATGTAAACTTTATGACAATGACCCATTGACCGCTGCACCAGAAAGTAGTGCATCTATCGGAAGTGTATTGTATGTTAAAGGTAAGAAATGTCGTTAGCCATTATTAGGAACCTTCTCAATATCAACTTTTATCAATTTTCTTTGTCTCAAAATAAAACTTCAATGAAAACGATTTTGAGCATACATTTGTATTTACATGAACAGTAATCGCAACTTGTCGCTCAAATGGCTAATTCCGCAAAATAAAACTTAAATCTATTTTCACAAACATGTAGGAAAGCGTTTCAGAATGTTGACAAATATATTATATATGTTATATATTACATATATCTTAAGATATGTTATTATGTTATAGTCTTGTTTGAAATAATTGCTTAAAATTTAGATTGCGAAGAAGGGTGGCTTAAATTTGGAGAGTCCTGCTATCAATTCTCGAAAACTCACACAAGCTGGGTTAATTCGAAGGTTTGTAATGTTTCTTTTATTTAGTAAAATGTTAAGTGTCACGAAAGAGACCTGTTTAAAATTATGATTTAAGTACATGTTAATATCGTTAAATAAAATCTTTCTTTAATGGTCTTATTTATGTTAACAATATCTAATATTTCGCTCAAAGGTTTGTAAGGTCATGGAAAATCTCTCACTGACTTTTTTTTTTTTTTTTTTTTTTTTTTTTTTTTTTGGAGTGGGGAGGCTAGGCTATGTTTCCTCAATGTAAATACCGTCCATCAAGGCTTACTGCGGCAGTTAGCAGTACCGTTATTTTTGAAGCGGTTCACCACATATCACCGACATTTACATAATGCTTTTATTCTGAAACAACATATTTGTAAAGTTCATAATTCTCAGATAAACGCTTGGTTTAACCGTTTCTTCAAATATGAAATAACCACATAGATCTACGCTTTTAATTACTGCGGCGTTAAATTGGTCATATATCGGTTGATAACTTAACTACTTTATCGAGAAATTAAAAACAAATAATATTAAGTGTAAAGTACTCATGAATTCTTGAATAATGTGGCAACATATCGTTATACAAGTTTTTTTTTAATTTTAGAATATTTTTCCCGACCAACGCGACCTTCGCCATTTTGATTCACGTGGTCTCAATATGAATATTTTCACAGAGTCATGTTCATTTGTTTCTATAAATCATTAATAGTCCTTAAAATATTCTAAAAAATGACAAATATTAATTTAAATTATCTGGTAAACTGTCGCTTACATGTATTTGTGTAAATGTGATAACTAATGAAAACAAACACCCCAGGTGGCTGTACGTGGAAAACGCATACAAACCCGCTATACCGTATAGATGTTTGTAAATATTTTGCATACATTTAATTATTTTGCATACATTTAATTATGAATTCACTAATGGTGATGAACATATAGTTTAACATTATTTGCTTGAACCCTTGTCGTCGAAAACTAATACTATTTAACTACGAAAACCAGTAAGATCCATACTACCCTCTTGCCGTTGAAAATCGGTTTGCAATCGGTTTAAAATATGATGCATAAAACCCATGAAACCCATGAAACTTTCTGATCAATTTTCACTAAACTTAAATCATTTTGAATAAGCTTTGCATGTACATTTTTTTTATAAAAAAAAATATTGAGTTTAAATAAATATTTTAAGCCATCAAAGTTAGCAACTAGATTTCTGATCGCCGGCACACACACACACACACACACACACACACACACACACACACACACACACACACACACACACACACACACACACACACACACACACACACACACACACACACACACACACACACACACACGCACGCACACACACACACACACACAAATTGTTTTTTGTTCATAAGTGGGTTTGTAGGTTACACGTGCGCGAAGGGCGACTATCGTATATGCCTCCTTAAAAAAATTGTTGTGAATTGATTTGTTTCTTAAAAATTATATGGACATCACATCATTGTTTTGAAACTATCTTGGAATTTCTGCACTTGCAGGATATAAAGAATTAAGTAGTTCAGTAAGTTGTCGGTAAATTGGCAATATAACACCAGGCAATTCTGGTTGGAGATTTTTTTGGTGCACAACTGTCTAAATCAGGCAATTTTCATAACTTGCAATTCTTAAGTTTTAGTATAAATTAGTTACAGTTTTTTCAGTGTAGATAGTAATACTGATATGAATTTTTTAAAATAGCAATGTCAAATGTGTGCATTTCTGGGTTTTAATAAAAATGTGAACATTTCCTACTGGATTCAGAATTTGACTGACTTTTGTCTTGACGTATGTATCCCTTTACAAAAAAAGATTGGTGATATCTCACCAGGATAACTGGTAGGAAGTCCAATTTCATATAAATGATTATGTGTGATATTAAAGTAAAATTTCCTATTTCCCAGTAACATCAAGCAAGTAAAGTACACTTTAAATGGGAAGATTTTTTCTTTTGAAATATGAAAAATATCCCGTGATTTCATTCAAGGTTTGCTCCGAGAGAAAACAACTTTCTGTACTAGAGCATAAGTATTGATACTCTTCACAAGTATTTTTATTGATCTAAATTATGTTATATGTAAATATGTTTATGTTGAATAAAAATGTTGCATAACTTGCAGTTGTTAATATCATTCAATATGATATATAACGTAAAGTACGAGTATTTATGCTTGCATGAACAGTCCTTCAATATCATCATAAGGAACAGTCAGTTACAAAATGATATTGTTATCTTATAATGAACAGTCGTCATACCTTGGATAGTGAACTTGTTGGCATGTCCTTTAAAATTCACAGTTTTTGTCTTCAAAATTTGCATGATTAACAGTCCAGATGAAACAACGAAAGGTTCTAAAACATTAACAAGATGATAAGTCAACCATATTAACCATATGAGCAGTAGTTGGTAATGGATATAAACAATAGTAATGATTAACATGGCAAAATAAATGGAGAGATCTTCCAGTATTGTCATTTAAAATTACAGTTTATTTTAAGCAAAAAGTAAAGAAACTATAATTCTGTCAAAAAACAAAAACATTTTGTCGACATTTCTGAACATAGTCTCTCCTATCAGTCCTCCAGTGCTTTGATTATTTAAGGTAGTAATTCGTTAGGCCAACTGAAATTCGCTTTATAGTTAAAATAACAGAAAACTTAGCTAATAATGCTATGTGCTTGGGGACGTGAACGGTAACTTACACATTCCAGTACCGACGATATAAGGCTCAATCAAACAAAGCCTGCAACATTTTCAATTCTTCTGTTTTTGACTTTATATTCTATTATTTCTTTTTCCCTCTTGTTTTCTAGCCAATAGATTACAAATTTTTCATATGATCTCGCTGATGAAGGTCAGTTTTTAATGCAATAGTATGAATAATTGATTATAATTGATTATCAATAAGAATAGAATACCAGAGTTGAATATTTTAATGTATCATTATCAGTGAATTGTTTCAGCTTTGAAAGAAATATCGATAAGCTATTAATTTTCATTTAAGTGCAGTCATTCGTTATATGAAAAAATTGATATATTGGATGCACAGTCAGACAACAATTTCGATGGCAATATGAAGTATAAAACACGAATGATAATCCGTTCGTTAGCAGTTGAAAAACCTTTATCCTTTTTTTCTTACGTTTTATATAAAGAATTGAAGTATGTACGCATCGAATGTTACCCAGTATTATATATGTATAATGTTCTTCACAAAAATTGTAAAGTATAAACTACACGTCCTAGTCTATATGACTACTGATTGAATGTGATGTCAATATACACTGTTTCACATCAAGCAACAATATTCATTCTTAACTTATCATTGATAAAACCAAGCGCTGGCTATATTAATCACAAGCTTCATAAGTTTTAATCACTTTGCTTCTCAGTAAATAATGTGTTGTGATAAATCATTTTAGACATACTGTGAATCGCTGGGAGCACATCTGGCTATTGTTACCAATGAAGCAGAACACCAGTTTATAAGACAAACACTTTCAGGTAAGTGTATGAGAGCGGTTGTGCGATCCACTGGTAGTCCGGTCTCGTGCTTCTCTAGCTCATTGTCTTGATCAGTTAATGAAATATAAACAGATAAATCTGTTACATGCAGACATTTATAACATATCTTAAATAATGGTCATTGTTTTACAGACCTTGACAACATTTATTTAAAACATTATAATTTTAAGTTGCAACAAGCAAGACTTTGAATAATTCGTTCGAATTATTTAAATTCCTTACGTCAAATCTGTATTCAAATGATAAATAAACACTTCAAACAGTTTTATAATGTATTGTATAAGCAGCTATTCAATGCTCAGTTATCCTTCTAAAACATGCATGGTATATCACATCCTTCCGGACTATGGATACTTATAACGCTCAATGTTTTGTTCCATTTATCATTGCAGATTGCCACCAGACTCTTATCATATTACTGTTATTTTATGTTGTTATATCTAATTGCGAAAATGGCAATCAACCATTTACTACGTTTTCTTAAACATATGCATGTATATTAATTTTGTGAGAAGTGTCATAGGGCTTAATTTTATTAAATGTTAGATATTCAAATTGTCATCCATTTTTGGCTTCCTTCCCTAACTTTGTTTGTTAAAACAGATTTGATTGGTTCTTTAGGTTTGAACTGAAATGTTTCTTGATCTGTTTGATTAGTTCAAAACTTGATTGCAATCAATTTCATATGCTTCGTTTCTATTTTACGATAAAATGTGAAAATTTCTTCTCAAGAGAACTGGCTTCAAGGCTGCAGACCCATTGACATTCCTCAGAACTAAAATAGTTTTGACGCTAGTTTCAATTAAACTTACATAATATCTAAAATAAATCTCTGCTATCATAGTATAAAAGTCCTCTGATTTATACTCTATATTTAGGTAGAGTCCAAAACACCACCTTTCTAGTCAAAGGTTTTGCACATGTTGATTTGTACTACTAGAATTCTATGAACCTGGTTATATAGTGTCCTTATATATATTCTTACTATACGATTACTTGTATAGTCGTCAATTAAATATCATATGTCTTGAACATAGAGCTATGTTTGATATTACATTTAGAAAATTAAAGCATTGTTGCATACTTAAGCAAACCATTTTATGTTCCATTAATTATCTTCACTTTAGAATTATTATTGTTCTTTAGGACAGAATAAAGACTATTTCTGGATTGGTGCCCGGTTTAACAGTACAGCCGGCGAATACCGATGGGTTGATGGCACTGAAATGACATTTAATGGATGGAGACCTGGTCAACCAATCGGTACTTCAGGCTGTGTTGATTACTTAGTTAATGCAAATTGGCTGTGGAATCATCATGGAGACTGTTATTCTACCTTTGGACCATGCATTTGTGCAAAAAGTAATTAAACCATTCTGATAAGTATTTCTTAGAAGATGATGTACATTTATTGTTGTTGTTATTTTTCACTAGTTTACCTTATTGCGAGTTTGAAACATGTTCATTTAATTATATACAAGCTGGTGGTACTCTAATCTAACAAGTGTTGTTGGATAGAAACAATTATTTGAAATTTTATAAATCAAATAAATCAATAATTCTGAGTTTTGGAAAGAATTCCGCTGTAAAACAAATCATGTAAGTCTGTGCAGTTTAAGCATCATGACATTTAAACAAATCTAAACAAACCAACTTATAAAAGTAGATTTTGCGATATTCGCTGCTCTATTTGCCTTTGAAATTTTCCCTATATTTTTATTTTCTGACCGTAAAATAATATTCAGGCCCTATAGAAAGCATAATTATTTATTATCTTAACAATGTTATATTTTTTTCAGAACGTGTATGACAGAACTCATGTGAGCAAACAGGAATTTCTGATGACAACAAAAAATGACACCAAATATTTATGTATATGTCATTTAAAATGACAATTTGAAAATCTACAGATGCAACAAAAATATATGAAAATGTAAAACTTGTAAATCTGTGTATCTGTTCCGGCTTCTGAACAATATATGCTATTTTTCAGATATATTTTCCTGGCTATAAAGATAATATATTAATGGATTATCAAATGTTAAAGGCCCATTATGCCCCAGAAATGCTTTCATTTTTATTTCTTATAATCTTTTTTATTTTTGGTATTCTTTTATAGTTTCCGACAAGTTACTCATTGACAAACTACTGGTACCTGTGCTGTATTTTTCTTCTGTTGCTTTTTGTCAATTAGTACATAACAAACTACAATTACAGTGATTTTGTATTTTGAATGGAAGTCAAAATACTACTTTGTTTACATTAAGCTCCTTTTATGACATATTATTTTACATTAAGCACTATTTTCTTCAGGTAAAAGGCATCTAACATGCTCTAAAACCCATTATTTAAAAGTTATAAAATTCATGTTTGACTTTTCTTAAGAAGTAATTCTGAGGTATAACAGGAGAATACCCCCCTTATTTTTTCAGAGGCAGGGGGTGTCGTATAGTCGGGAGAGATAACGCAACTAAAACTTTTACATTTTAATTCTACATGCGTGTACAACTTGTGCAAGTCTCAAATTCGAACTCCCTGACTGGGCTTTCAGACCAGTATATATATTGACAACTATCCGCCTAAAATGTCAACATCATAAATATACATTTACTTCATAATTTATATACATGCACGCATTTGGAGTGATATGTAGAACTGTTATCAATTATCCTTGACATATTTTACCACCCAATACAGTTTGCATCTATTTTTGTCAAATAACATATATAAATAATGTCATGTTCAATGTTTTTAAATTATGAAGTAAATACAAGTATATCGTAAAACTGTGTTCTCATTCATTTGAATTATATTAAATATGTATGACTTATTAACTTCAAAGTGCACAATGCAACAGCGGGAAATTTTACATAAAGAAGGAAAAAGATCAACAAATTCACTTTTCGATAAAAAGCCCCCATGACATTTTCATTTAAGAAAGAAAAACTGGAAGAAATACATTTATTCGACATGTTTCTATTGCTGGTTTTTCTCGCTTTACATAACATAAAAACTAAGTGTCTTTTGCAGTGTACTTACGGACTCGATGCTCTCGCTACCCTCAAGTCAATTGAGAAAAATACTACTCACCTAGCTTGAAAAAAAGTTGATGATTTGATAGATTCTCACTCATATAGTACATGGAAAATACGGGTTCTCTCTTACGTTGTCTTATAACAATGATAATGTGAGTATAACTTTAATAGATGTACGTATCTTGTTTGACTTAAAATGACACTTAATCAGTGCAGTTTTTATTAATCGAAAACTTGAAATATTAATGTTATTTCTGAATTGGCCGTAATTGATATCGATCATTTTACATACGCAAACAATATTTAATAATTTCAGCATTTATTATTTATCTATACATTTAATCAACCTGAACAAAGTAAACTAAACTGGGATAAAGTTTGAATTAAAAAACAACTGGCACTTGTTTGAACGCATTCATGTACAGTGCGATGCTTGTATATACATGTACATGTAAATATATTAACGTTTATTCTTGGGATTTTTCGTTTATAATATACCTGTGTTGTGTTTGTTACTGCAAACACTTGCAGGTTTTGATTTACACAGAATTTCATAGATTTAATAAGCGGTTTAGAATTGCAATTCTAACTGTCGTACGGCTTTATTTAATCTGAAATGAAATGTAGTGAATCCTAAACATGTAAGCACACAGCTTGTCTTTAAATGTAAAAAATAAATTGGTTCTAAGCAAACGTTAAAGTCCTTCATAGTCTTCTACATGCAGAATTCAAATCCAAAATCAGATATCACATCTAGTAACAAAAAATAGTGTTTCTCTTTCGATGAAAGAGTCTTTTATAAGAAACAGCATGTAAAACAAAGCATGTGTCATTTTATTTTATATATTATTTCATTGCAGCCAATTGACAAAGGGTTTGTTATCGTATTTTGTTTCCCTTTTTCGTTTACGTCATTTATTTTGCATGCTAGCTCGGTGTCATTACATGTGTAAATAACAGAATAGCTTACTTATAGATATGTAAATACCACTTTTGTTGCACGGATCGTCATGAGTGGCAGATCAAATTTAATCTGACATTCATCAGTTACTGGTATGTAGAAGATGATGATTTTGATAATACTAAACTGTCTTAATCATTGTAAATATTTTGTTATTTCATACTGATCAATCAAAATTTTGAAGTAAAAATCATTCTTCGATCATTGTTTGCTGATAATGAGGTCGGCATTATTTTATAGTCTGGTCCTTTGGGATAATATAATGTAAACATTTAAAGTTGTTAATTTGATATTCATGAAACTGTCGGTAGAGGAACATGACGGGTGGCGCTCTTTTATTTTCAAGGCAATGTTTATCTATATATGTTTTATCTATTTTTCTGGCTGAGTTATTATTTATCGACAAACAAATATGAGTGATTAACACTTATGGCGGTTTGACAAACAGGAATGGCTCAAACCTTTATGAACTGTTTAACATATTGATTTTTAAAAAGGAACGGCACAGTTTTCGCATACAGGCTTGACATTTATACGATTGTTAATTTGTTATCCAATGGAATAAGTCAAATAATGAGCTGACCTGTTTTTGTATTTCTTTGGGATAGTCTGGTGCAAATGAAAGTTTCAAGGTTTTGTACAAATCAGTTTTCATATAAGGACACGTTGGTCTCAAACTTTTATATCCAGTAATAACATTCAATCTTGGACATTTTTCTATCTGAATGATGTTATATTTCCATAATATGACCTTTCGTATTCTGTTTACCTTAAAAAGGCTAAAGTCAAATAGGATGTCTAAAGAATTTCCATATACAGAAAATATTTTATAATTTTTAGTAACTCTACCATAGGAGAACCGTGGGAGACTTGAATAAGTCTTTCTTTCAGAGAAAGTCAAGTTGTTGCGATGAACTCACTCTTTAAAATACAAGTACTTCCATTTTAGGTGATATATTCTAACTGTACATCTCTAATTCTGCTTAATCAAACTGACTACTACTGTAACGTACTGTATATATCTGTAATCTACAATAAGCCGCCTCAAATAAAAGAGTCTCAGTCTGTTTTGTGTTTACAACGAGCACGAATTCATATGAAAACGTAACTGTTTCAGACGATTTGTTGTTTGTATAAGAACTACTATACAAGATGATAAAAGGTAAGTGACTGTGTAAAATGATTCAAAACTCACATGCACATCGAGGACCCGAAGTAAAATTAATAGACCTTTAAACTGCCAGCTGTTTTTCTGCATGAAGAGTTTATTAGATTCATGGCAGATTTTGAAACAGAACTTCTTTGTTGTCCACTGCTTAGCCCTTTATAAATCTAAAGATAAACACTTTTAAAAATGGTAAGAATCAAAAGATGTGTACCTTTGGAAAGGAAAAGTACATTTTAAAATATAAGCGAGAGTGAATCGTGCCAAATGTGGCCCGGTCGCGCCAATATGCAAATCAATGCTGATCTGAATAAATATGCTTCGACCACATGGGTATGTTCTATGTAATTTTGTAGACCATATTTGCTACATATATAAGCTCTGGCTATTATCACCTACCATAAGAAGATTAAATGCATTTTCTTAATTATTTACATGTATATAAATTAGGTGAACCGCGGGGCCAGTTCAAAGTATACCTAAGGGGTTTGATTTATATAACTTTTGTAGAAGAATACAAGGTGATGCTACATTACAAGCTCTAGGAAGTACAGTTAAGGAGGAGTATAATATTTAAACATGTCGTCTACATGTATGTAAACAAAGCGGCCCGGAGTAAGAGGCAATTTTTGGAAAGAGATGTATGTTATGCACATGTTATACAGATCCACTAGGGAATGCTACATGACACATCTCTAAGCTCTGGACATTGCATTATTTCAACAAAAAAGTTTAAGTGTATTCCTTGTTTATAAAAGTAATGGATCCCAGGGCCTGGTCAATTTTGACCCTAGGACCATGAGCTACATAATTTTGTTAAGGGTCATTACAAGGTGATGTAACATGCCAAATATCGAAGCTCCGTGCATGATAGGTTTGGAAGAGAAGAGTTTTAAGATATGCTTACTATGCAAGTCGATATAAACAAAGTGGACCTTAGGGCCGTTGCAACTTTACTCTCAGGGACTATCGGACAGACGGAACCATCGACATCATGGTGTTATAGAAGACAAAGCTGAAGTAATCATAACGTTTTTATTTTTGTTATTGGGCAGATAGAGAAAGCTACTGTCATTGGGCAGATAGAGAAAGCTACTGTCATAATTATGTTTTACTTAAGATCATCGTGCGGACAAGCCAATATGATCGCAATGCCTCGCTTTTGACAGACAGGCTCGTCGTTTCACGTTATAAGTTTTGGGGCTGACAAAAGTTATGTGATCTTTATGCCTTTATGAAAGTTATTGGTCAAACAGAGCTTAAGTTTTCATTTTAAGATAATTTGACAGAGAAAGGTAATGTACTATCTCTTGTGTCTCTTTTAAGTTACTGGGTTGACAAAGCTAATGATGATATTTTATTTAGGTTAGGTTTAGACAAAGCTAAAGTGATGGCGATGCACCTTTCAAGATTAATGGGCAGACAAAGATATAGTTTTTAAGTGATATTTATATTTAGGTTTCTTGACAGAAAAAACTTATGTATCATGTCTCTATTTAGGTAATAGCGCAGACAAAGCTATTATATCATGTCTTTAATGAAGTTAATGTGCTGATAAAGCTAATGCAAGTATATTGATTCTTTTTAGGAAATTTGTGAAGAAAATGCCTAAGTGACCATCAGGAATTCTTGGAGCTGGAACAAAATGAGTAAAAGGACAGCTTACTTTCATTAAAGTGAAATAAAACAACGTGTATATTAAAGACATTGTGAAAATGCAATTGAAGGGTTTGCATTTCATTTAGCGTAAATACCCAGTAAAACATTTTGAAGTTTGGGTAATAATAATAATGTTAGTTAACGTTTTGCATGAAAGTATCATTCACCTACAAATTTTAAGCACATACATAATTACATGGTAATTTCAACATAAGTTCATGAAAATGTATCTCGACTTTTTTTATTTCCAAGTAATCACAATTTCTTTTCCTTCTTTCAAACACAAAATGTCCCACATTTTAGGATCCTGAAACATGACCAATTAATTAACAAGAAACAATGGGAAAGTCAAACTTGATACATCTTGTTAATAAAAAATTACCACTTTCATATTCCCAGATCACGATTTTTTGTGTGTGTGTGTACCACTGCAAAGTTCCGGCATGGGAAAGGATGGTGCTTATATTATTGATCGAGCATTCATGCTCTGTTAAACTTAATGAATACCCCTTCAATAACAAATTACTAAGGAATTGTCTTTATGCGTAAAGGCATCAGAATTGCAGCCACGTTTTATCGCTACGTTGTCGTAAGAGGTGAGTAAATGGAATCGAACTACTGGAAGTTATGTATCTCTTAGGCAGGTGAGGCGGTTTTGACTCCTTGTGTTGCTTTAAGTTCGTAACACCCGAGTTTAACCAAAATCACATTTCCTGTTTCGGCGCCATATGACCTAAATTGTATTAGTGCGAGTAAAACCAAACCAGACTAAAATAAAAAACTTAATTAACCTGAATGCTGATGTAAGCGAATCTGATTAGCCTTGACTCAAGCAGAAAAAATATCGTTGTATGAACGACGGATTAAGTTCAGTCGGGGTCTTTCAAATAGAGGTGATAGTCAAACTTAACACATCTCGTTAATGATAAAATTACCACTTTTATTATCACATCTGACAAGGTTTTTGTATACAACTGTTAACTTATACGGTACGAAATAGGATGGTAAATTAGGCTAGCCTTTATTTTCCTTCTACACTAGTACTGTTGGCCGACTAACTTAAAATATTTCTCCAACATTTGAAACGGGCAGTTCCAAAAATGAAAGCTGGACAAGTCCAATTTAGACAAAAGACCTTGGTGTGATTAAGGTTAAAACCAAACAAACGTATTTACCTACAAAATATTTCTATATAACATACTTCCAATGTTTCTGCGTGAAATAATTAAGTACTAGTACGTAGAAGAACTTTTATCAAATTTGATGATTATGAATCTATATGTAAGAGTGCCGGTTTATTATCAGTGGTTCAAGCTGATTCGAGCCCAACACTCAGTGGCGCTCTTGACAGACTTATATCATAAATGGCCTAATTACTATGCGGACGACACGTGATCACAAATATATCTTTAAACGGCACTTAACCCAGGTTCTCTGAACTCTTAATTGCCAACCAGTGGCTAGGATGGTGGTGTAGGACGCTACCTTCAAATTACTCTTATTAAGAAAGTATAACACAAGATTTTATAAATTTAACACTACGAGATTTATTCAAACGATAATCATAGACTTATTTAAACGACAATCATATAATTTATTTATCAAAAGTATGAATAAAACTATATATTTAAGCAGAATCTACCAACAACGAGTTATTTATTTAAAAAGAATTTCTAAGTATTTATTAATAAGAATAGCCTAAAATCTCAAATCATATAGATTTAAAACAGAGTCAAAACTATTAAGTTTTGAAAGAGTGCCAAAGCTCTAAAGCTTTGAAGTGAACTGACCTGTCAGCCAGTTCCCAAGACAAGAAATATAGAAATTCACCCGGTATTTCTACACTTTTAGTAGTCATGACAATGCTTAACTATAAGATTGATTGGTCAAAATTACTCATAACAAGTTCTGAACTAATCGAATGATTTCAATCAAGTCGACCAATGAAAAAATATAGAATTAAACCGAAAGCACCAATCAAATTAACTCTAACAAATAAGGTACGGAAAATAAGCGAAAAGGGCAATAAAAACTGAGAACGTTTACTAAAATGCAGCCCTATTACATATATAATAATCAGTATTACATTTTTAAGAAAATAGTATTATTTAATTGATTGATCTCGTTTATTTCAAGCAGCAATGGTTGCCGTCCCTAAGCAAAGATACATATAGTCAGCATTTTGATATAACATAACATTTATTTAAAGATATCGCTGCATACGTACTACTCAAAATTTGTAACAGCCACAGGTTGCGGCGAAAGCAGATGACACATGTTCTGATACACATGACTTTATGAATTAAAGAAGAAATACACGTAAGAAAACGAAAAACGAAGCCACATTAGGTCAAAGTTTGACTTCATCTGAATGTTGCGATTTAAAAAAAAATAACGTTCACAGTGCGATGTTACCAGTGTTTCTAGCTGTAAGACCGGCGGAAAATCCGTGAAATCATGAAGTTCCGCCTTGAGCCCATGACCTCGTAAAATATCAAAAATAACACTTGAGGTTATTGATTCAAATCTAGTCATGAACAACTTCCACTTCAAGTCTTAGGACTGATGGCTAATGTGTTCTTTATTGAGCCGATAAGCTTTTCGTGGCCATGGTCATTGTGGCGTTGACCGGGGTAATCTACAGGTAATGCGCAATGTCCCTACCAAGTTACTTAAATCCTGCATTATTTCTTCTATTAAAAGGTTATTGATCCAAAAGGGAAAAGATGTCGGGTTTTTTTGCAAGTACTTACAGACAAACCAACGTACGTCCAACATCATCACTGTATCCTCTCACTTCTATCTAACCCATCTATTGCAAAAACAAACTCTATAAAAGCAAGTTTACCCAACACGGCAAGGCCGATTTTGACCAAAGTACTACTAGTAACTAAACTTGGAATGGGACCACTATGCTGCATTAAAATTGATTATCTAAAGTCCTTCAGGTTTCTGACAACAAAAATTATAAATGTCTCCTGTGTGAACAAGGGCCATTCAGGAGTTAATTTTGACCCGAGGTCATGATCTAATGAAACTCGAGACAGGTCCACTAGACATAATTATTACGGAATATCTAGGCTTTAAGCAATCACTTTCTGAATTTCCTCCAAATTATCACTTAAAATACTAGTATTAGGCATTCACCAGGACCATTTGATTTAAGTAGAACTCCATGAAAGCAGATTTCATTATATCTGACCCTATGGAATGAAATACAAGATCGACAGCCGGAGTGATATATAAATATAACAGTGCTTGGCGGATGAATATTGAAATACCTTTCATAGTCACCTATTGGTGGGCTCTAGATCTGTAATTTTTAGGTACTTGTATTAGTTTTTTTTTATTCTTAGGAAGATCTCCACACCTTTCCTTTAGCACTATGTACACTCCAACTTCTAATGACTTCATAATTTCTTCATAATTTTTAAATGGGAAACGGACAAAAGCCGTCCCGGACAAAAACCCTCCCGTCAAAAAATAACATGGCGGACAAAAGCCCTCCCGTGAAAATGACAGGGCAGACAAAAGTCCTCCCGTGAAAATAACAGGGCGGACAAAAGCCCTCCCATGAAATTGACTTGGCGGACAAAAGTAAACAAGGCGGACAAAAGCCCTCCCGTAACAAAAATTAATATGTATGTTGAATACCTGTGTTTTTCAATGCACACAACATTGAAATTGTTACAAATCGTTCTTGTTGTTTTCAATTGACGTCAGTATGTGTATGAGCCAGAACCACCTTATTCTGAATATACCTTCCGGAAATGTTTAACGAGGTTACTTTTTACACGAATGTCGTTAAAAACAAAGTCACTTTTAAATCAAATTGACTCATTACAGGGCACATTATAAATACCTTTACTTTTTAAGTTAGGTAATTTTAACTTCTTTTCATCATTTATTACTCTATAAATCTTAACTTCACACAGGAGTAATCCTTCATATCTACGTAAATATATATGCACTTAAGATTTTAGCACTTATTATTCAGATGCCTCTCAGGAATGTGCTCAAGCTCACACAAACATGCTTATGCCAATGAATAACAAAAATATTCATGATTACAATTTTAATATGTTGAGTGCATTGAAAGAAAATATAAACTATTCAACGTACATATATGTATTTGCTGTGGTAGGGCTTTTGTCCGCTTTATTATTTTCACGGGAGGGCTTTTATCAGCCCAGCCATTTTCACGGGAGGGCTTTTGTCCGCCTTGTCATTTTCACGGGAGGGCTTTTGTCCGCCTGGTCACTTTTTGATGGGAGGGCTTTTGTCCGGGAGAGCTTTTGTCCTACACTCTTTTTAAATTCATCCAGGATTGATAGACTTGTTGACCAGTCAAAAACATCAGTGTATTTTTATCACGACTTTTGTCATGTACTGACTCAATCAAACCGAGTCTGCAATTTTCATGTAATTTTGCTGTTTTAATGCTGGATCCCTTTTTTCCAGATATTTATACATCACAACAGCAGATGTCAATTGGTGTGTGACAGCCATAAAAAAATGCCCCGTAAATCACTTCAGTTTTGTTATATTTTTCTGGTTCTTCAGGATCATTGATGCCAGCACTTTTAAGTGTCGAGAATTGAGTACCGAACAAGCCGATGATAGGGAGCGTGAGGGATGTTGCACTTTTTCATTATCCCTCATGTACAGGAGTCTGCCTTTTTCAAGTAATTGTTTTAATGCTTCCGAGGGATCACTTTTTTCCAGATATTTTGATCTACAAGTTTGACATTGACCTTTGAGGTAAGAACCTAAATTCTTGTGCATAACACATTTTTATCCTGTCAAACACATTTATGCATGGTGATTTTTAAATACATCAATGAACGACGGAGTTGACTCAACATAGAGCATCAGTGTACTTTTACAAAAATTAATACCTACAAGTGTGGTCTTGACGTTTGTGGAAGAGACCCAATTCTTGTATGTGACACAGTGTCCAACATATCTATACATAATAGAACTTTGCCCCAAATTGCAACACATTTATACAAAATTATCTTTAAATTCATCCATAAATGACGAGGATATGGCCTTGACAAAGTTTGATTGGAAGGACGGAGAGACGCTACAACACCTATATGACTCCCCAATATGGGAGGGCATAGAAATAGAAGTTAACTCTAAACTAATTTTTCAATATTTATTAGCAAAGACATTCTAAAGACTCCATCACTTTAACTTTCTAAAGACTCCATCACTTTAACTTATAGAATGTCATACATTTTAATGTTAAACTATAAATGCAATTATTTTGATCTTTATGAGTTTCTTTCTTTATATTGCCTCAATGCTATCTGCGTCCTCTTCTTTTCATTGCAGCATAACACTGTGGACAATACCATTTACATTTTGGTGCTTGTGACAGTCCAACACATCCGTAGTGAAACCATTCTATTGGACACTGAAATAAAATAATTGAAACGGTTTATTTCATTACAGACATGTGTACTCAGTAGTGTATCTTCCATGTATTATTATATCTTTCAAATTCAAAAGGACATGGCGGTGCTGGGGTTTTACACTATATATAACAGTCAGAGGCCTATAAAAGTCTCTTCCAAATATAAATTTCTTTGCAATATGCAGTTTCAACCAGGAATTCAAACATAAACCAGCTTTTTACTTTCCCAAATCAGCAAATTTAGCCAGAATTCTTCCCAAAATCAAAGAGCTACATAAGGCCTCTTCCCAATTAAAAGAGAAAACGCCCAGGTAGGATTAAACGATTGATAACTTCAGCTGTATGGGCAACATGTAAGTGTGCAATACCCTGGATCAGTAGTGCATTTAAACACTTAAAATATTTCCAAGTGAGATATTAAAATATGAACACATATTTAGTATCTCGCATTATTCATACCAATGGTTTATTTTGTTTTATCTATTACAGATCCACCATAGCATAATTATCTACTAAAATATCAGCAAAACTGATTGTAAACAGTCATGTTCGAAATTGCTTTGGAATTTGATTATGATGAAGATGTGAATTCATGAACATGAATATGAAGAAAAACCATTTTGGACAAAAACTGCAATATTTGGAAAGGTTTTGGGTTTTTTTTGTTTTTTTTTTCCAATCCAATCTCTAATTTCTAGAAATATTATATTTAGATTCAATCTTTCTAAAGGGAGAGATCATATTTATTTTATGTAATTCTTTTGTTTTAATAAAATTCATCTAAGTAAAAGTGTCAGCTTATCAAAAGGTATTCACAGAACAGTCATCGAATTTAACACTGGCCCTGGTGGCCCATGGCCAGTGTAAATTTTAAATATATAGTAGAATAAATTCAAAACTGGAATTCGGGGCAGTAAATTCAAAATCTTAAATTCATTGACTGACAGAATGATGAAAAAGATATTTGAAATATAACCAGTGTGTAAATGACTATGTGGACAATCAGCTTAAAATTAAACATTACTTTGTTCAAAATATCAAGGATATTACACTGACACAAGAAGTCAGGATACTCATTTAGTTACTTTCAACATTTTCAATCATATTTCAAAGAACATTAAAACTTAAATCTAATAATTAAATATCAATAACATATGACCTTGACCCTTGCATCTATATTAACAAACATGTTAGTTCCAAACCTTACATAAGATATAAATCAATACATTTGAACTTACATCATCATTATCACATCCGACCATTTCACCGTATGATACTTGGTTACATAAACAATATCTCGGCTCGTTTGGATCATCCTGCCAATTTACGGGTTCACCATGCTCGTCAACTATTTGAAGCTCGTTGCTGGGTTCTGGTGTTGTTGTTATTTCAACACCACCAGTAAGCTGCTGCGATAATGCTGACATAACTGCTTGTTGTTTTTGTCTCTGGGCTTGTTCCTGTGCCTGTTGGGCTTGCAATAATGCTGCAGCTTTTGATGTTTGTCTGTGAAAAAAAAATAAAAAAATGAATTCATAAACACCAAGAATAATTCATCAGTATAAATCTTTAAAAAAAAAAACCCAGCTCCATAAAAATTCATTTCAACAAGAGGAACTAGCGGGCTGGTATTGTGCGCTAACAAAATTGCATTATAGAGCTGAATGGCAGTATTTACAAGAGCCATGTTACACACTGTTAATCTCCCTGCCAAGAAGAGGCTACCTATAGGTTATACTTTCCTATGTTTTACTTGGTGAGAAAAAAAGCTTACAAAGTTATAATCATGATGAGTACAGTTAACAAGTAAGTGGGGAAAAAAAATTAGAAAAAGAAGAGAATAGACGGTTTGCAAAACATATTAATTTATTATCATTATAGGTCTGATATTTTTCTCATTTGACAACTGTAAAAAGAAGGAATAAAGTAAAGCAAATCTGATAAAGGGGAATAACTTCTAATAAGTAGGCAAGGAAGAGTTACTAACTTATTCAACCAAAATGTCATGTTGTTCTGTCCGTTTTGGTTGGGTTTTAAGTCGCACCAACACTTTCAAAGGCATATAGGGACTTTCCAAATTAAACAGGAGGGGGAGACCTCAGGTGTCACTCTAAGTATTATTTAAGGCACAAACTGCATTAGACTAGAATCACAGACATTCCTAAAGATAGCTTAACATCATCTTAACCTGAAAGAATCCAAAGTCCCTGGCAAAATTTTAACCTAAAGCAATGAAAAGCAAGTTGTGAGAAGTCAACAAACTTAACTCAAAAAAAATCCTGAAATATCATGTATAGTGGGCTTTCTATGAAGGTAAAGCACAACATACTACACACACTAAGGTATGACCTATCAATGGCTCAAATGACAAAAACTGTCGAAGATGAAAGGGTATGGGATAAAAGTGCATACTTTTTTGGCTTTGGGACCTTCCAGCCCCACTATCTGTGGTAACAGCCGGAGTAGAAGGCTGGGAATATGAGGTGTACTCTTGTTTTATAATTTCTTTGGTTAATTCAGTACTACTCCCTTTCGTCATTGCAACATAACTGGCTTTCAAACTTGGTGTACGTCGTCCCTGACACTGCATCTAAAATTAAATGAGAAATTGTATTTCAAAAATTTATAACAAATTAAACAATTCATTTTTCTTAACAAATATGACAAAAACAGTCAATTAAAAAAGTGGAACATCCTTAACAAACAGTACATCATTATACACCATTACCAATTGTTCATTTCAAAGTTTTTTAGTCAACAAACCATTCAAATTTTTGTGGCAATACAAAAAATCAATATGAGTGAATAAACATGTCAGTAATCAAATTATCCACATTTTACATAGATGGCATGTTTTTAAACCAAATCTTAGAATAGAAACTGATTATGTACATGTATTAATGTCTTGAAAACAAAAACAAGATGAAAGTATGTGAATCTCAGAACAAAAACTAATTTCTCATGCATGACTTGAAAACAAAAACAGGTAAAACTCATGTTTATCCAGAGGTACTAATATCTTTTCACAAAAACAAATTAAGGTAATTTACAAATTTATTTTTCATGACGTATTGTTTTGATCAACTGCTATTATCATATACTCAGGTTTTAAAACTTGTAATCAGGTACAAGATAAGTGAAAACAAGGGCTATTGAAAGGAGACAGCACAATCAAACGCTGCAGAACTGGTTTCATTTGCGAAAGGATAGTTTTCACAAACATTCAGAAAGCAATTTCTGCGTGAGTTTGTAGTTATTGTGAATATGTTAGCCTGAAATTGCAAAATTGGTATTTGGTTATTTCTAATCATATGATGACCAGCTGTGTTATTTCGTCATAAGAAAAATTATTTCAATGAACATAATAATGTGCTTCTTTGTAAGTAAATAGAAAATAAAAACATCTTGCTTTGAACATTTTGAACTGCATAGGGTACAATGATGGTATTCACAAATTCAAATTAACAAAGACAAATGTAGCCAATTTTTGGTTTGAAGCTTTACACTTTTGTTAAAACAGTATTTAAGGTAAATTTGCTTGTTAAGGAAAATAAAATAATGCAAAAAGAACTTTGTATTTGAAGTGTTATTATATACTTTGTACTTATATAAACAAGTTAACACGTGCATTTATCACCTTGAATCATACAATTTACATGTGAGTCCTAGAATAGAAACTGAAGACCAATGCATGACTTGAAAATAAACACAAGGTTAAAATTTAAGCACATGTTTATTCAGAGGTATTAAAATCATTTAACAAAAACAAATTAAAGTTATTTACAAATGAATTTTGCATAAGGCATTGTTTTGACCAACTGCTAAGAACTCCTTGAATATCAAGGTCATAAAAGTGCATATCAAATATAGTGTGGACAATCGGAAGATCTTGTTCAAACAATTTTTGTGTCCAAGTGTGAAGGCAACCCATTGAGAAATAAAAAGAATATGACTAACATTTTCAGACAGCAACATCATCAACAACATGATGAACAGCAGAACCTTTTTTTTTCTTTTGAAAAGTCAAGTTAAAATTGAATCTATATATTGTATAATGTACATGTGTCTGACAGATACATATATCTACCTAATTTCTAACCATGTCCAAAAATTTAAGTCTGAAGTGGCAAATAAGTTTATAAGGTTTGCATGATTTCCTAAATGTTTATAGAAGTCTAAAGATGTGCAATTTAAAACAATACCACTTGTTGTGTTGCTGCTATTGCTTGTGAAGCTGCTGCTGCTATAGCTGCATTACTACCAACACCAACATGACCTGTTTATATACATAATGTTCGTACATGACCTGTTTATATATAACGTTCGTACATAGCCTGTTTATATACATAATGTTCGTACATGACCTGTTAATATATAACGTTCGTACATGACCTGTTTATATACATAATGTTTGTACATGACCTGTTCATATACATTATGTTCAAACATGACCTGTATATATACATAATGTTCTTATATAACCTGTTAATATACATAATTTTCTAACATTACCTGTTTATATAAATAACATATAAATAACGTTTTAACATGACCTGTTTATATATAATGTTCGTACATGACCTGTTTATATACATAATGTTTTTACATGACCTGTTTATATACATTATGTTCAAACATGACCTGTATATATACATAATGTTCTTATATAACCTGTTAATATACATAATTTTCTAACATTACATGTTTATATAAATAACATATAAATAACGTTTTAACATGACCTGTTTACATAGATAATGTTCTTACATGACCTGTTAATATAAATAAATGTTCAAACATGACCTGTTCACATAGATAGTGATCTTTCATGACCTGTTTACAAAGATCACATTGGTGTATGACCTGTTTAAATACATAAATGTTCACACATGACTTGTTTAGACACATTTTGTTCAAACATGACCTGTTTACATTCATGATTTTCAGATTCATCACAGCATCTTACATCATGTTGATTCATTAACTATAACAAAACCTGTCACTGGACACTTTTCTCAGTGCTATTAAGTAGACTTGTTAAATAACTTGAATATTCACCTTTTATCAAAATCTTTCACTTTTGTTGTAAGTAAATAATGAAAACAAAAAATCAGTCAAGTTTCAAACCAATGACCTTCTATCTTAAAAGATGAAGATAATTTTTATGTGTTTACTGACCACTTCGCTCATATTTTTTCTATCATCATATCTTTAAAGATAGACCTGTCCACGGACAGTTCACTCCACATTCTTCTCAGTGCTTTGAAAAGTAGAGCTAAAATTCATCATATGACAATAAGGTTACCATCACTTATGACTTTTCCAATGCCATACTTACATGTAAATATCTTCCAAGAGAGTATAATATATCAAGTCTTCATCTATGACAAATGAATTTGTGTATTAAATGTACCTACCTAGTTTATATGTAAGAGTGGTTGAAGCTGGCGAAAAATTAAACATTGATATATTTGGTGAGTTAGATGCTGACTGACTTTTCCGTACACCACCAAACGAGTCTCGTGCAATTTCGTTAGCTAAGGCTGACTGCACTTTTTCCGTAGTCATTTTACTTTCATTTTGTGTAGGTAAAGTAGATGAAGGAAGTTTCCGTTCTGAAAAAAAAAGAAAGAAATTACAATACAGTTATCCAATTGAATGCAATATAAATTGATTGGACTAGACATCATTACAAACAGAAATTTACAATGTTTGTTCCATCAATACAGTAGATTTACTGTATTATTGTATTCCATGCAGACATTTTATTACTAAATAGCAAAAAGTGTGTTTCTGTTTCTTTACTTATATGCTATATAATTATAACAGCTGTTTCATTTAGGGAGGTTATCGAAATTATGATTTTCAAATTATTGTCCTGATCATACAACAACTCACTCAGACAAACACGAGCATAGCATATGATGTTATGCAAACAACTTCATGGATGATGCTGGCCAAATTTAAACACCTGTGAATTCAATTTTGGAAGTTAACTTCTTGTTTTGCAAGTTGTTTAGTAACTTACTTACAAAAGTTTTTTAGTTAAAAAAATGTGCATATTTTAATTGTGAAATCAATGACAAGCCAACACTCTTCAGTTGCAAATGGAAATTAACTTGCAACAACATTAACAAAATAAGTAGTAAGATACTAGATTATAAAAACTTCTTACTTTCTGCTCTATGACTCTGTACTAAAGGTTTATCCATCTCTAAAGATCCTGAAATGAAACAACATTAGCAAAATTCAACGCTATCAATGGGGTGAAAGATTCAATATCATGTTATCATTACTCAATGGATTTGTAATAAACAAGAACGTGTTTGTTAAACACAAATGCCCCCGGCTCAGATTCTTGTCAGTAACAATATTTAAAATAAAGGCTGTATGGGCAAAAGTGTATACAATCTATTTTAAGCACTGATGGTGACCTTGACCCAACTAACCCCTAACTCCATCCAAAGGAAGAATATCATGCAACTTATTTTCCTACCAAATATGAAATAAATCTGTCAAAATATAAAGGCTGTATTGGCAAAAGTGTAAAAATCTATTTTCAGCACTGTTGACCTTGACACAACTGACCCCTAACTCCATCCAAAGGAAGAATACCATGTAAGTTATCTTCCTACCAATTATAATACAAATCTGTCAATAAATAAAGGCTGTATGAGCAAAAGTGTAAAACTCTATTTTTAGCACTGGTGACCTTGACCCAACAGACCCCTACCTCCATCCAAATGAGAATACCTCAATTTTATGTTCCTACAAAATATACCAGACATCTGTCGATAGAATAAGGTTAATACACCTGTAAAAGTGTAAAAAATCTATTTTTGACATTTGTGACCTTGACCCAAATGACCCCTTACTAGAGGAAAAGGAAGAGGACCTCCCTTGGTATGACTATTATAAACATGAAAGACAATAAAGGCTGTATTAGCAGAAATGTTTAGATTTATCTTTTTACACAAGTGACCTTGATTGACCTAGAGACGCCTAACGCCACAAAAAACTAGAGGACCGTTAAAGGTATCCACCTACCAATTATGAAAGATATCATTAAATAAATTAAGTAATTAGGTGAAATTTTTTGATAAATCCAACTTGGCGGAAAAGGGTTAACCATACAAGGCCCTATTTTGAAAGTGATAAAAAGGAAAATTGCTGGGAAAATGGATGGCAAATTTATATAACTTGGCAATATCATGTACATTGTATTGATAAGTAAGTTTGAAAATTATTAAGCCATTAGTTCAGATAGAACATAAGATATTTCCAACTTGCCGGTTTAGGTTAACCATTATTCATTTTCTAAGTGCTGAAAAGGGCCATAACTTGGTGCAAATGGAAGCCATAGTTATGTTACTTGCCCAGATCATATACTTTGTATGGCTTAGTAAGTGTGTAAATTATGAAGCCATTGGTAAAGGTAGAACTTAAAAAAATCCAACTTGCCGTTCTAGGTTAACCTCGTACGGACAGATGGACGGGCGGACAGTTCAATTACTATATGCCCGGGGGCATAAAAAATATTTTTAATGGGCCAGTCAATCTTTAAAATCAATCTCATAGTATTTTATATACAAGAAAGAGCCACACTGAAAGGTAATTCAAAAATATGACCCAAAAAATCATTAAATAAATGAAAAGGGCATGGGTATCAATAGTTGTTATACGAAACTCTACAAAAGTATGTTTTTCCAGGCTAATTCCCTGGTACAAACTTTTACCCTTATAAATTCATGGTGCACTTCGGGTCACAATAGACTAGCAAGTCCTACAAGGGAACTGCAATACTGAATGGAATGGGCTACATTGATATTTTGAAGGCCACAATTATTCACCATATTCAGATAAATATCAATGTCAGAGGTGTGGTAACATAAAAATTATGTTAGGTGCATTATATTTTAACATCATTTAAAATTGGTAAATGTTATGTAATCAAGTTTTTTTAAATTACTTTTTAATTACCAATATTTAGGTTACAGTCAGTTATAATTTACTGATGCAACAGATATCTATTCAATGGATGTATACTTTGTATTTATTCAATGTAATATAAAGGTGTTCATGGGGTACAGTATATATTTACATATGCCTATGAAAAACTAAAACCTATGAATATGTTTATGTTGCCATGGAAAAATAGTAGCAGTCTTTTTTTAATTTCATTTCAGCAAATAGTATGATGATAATTAAAACTTTTGACTCTATTGATTTTTGTACCATTCGCTTCATCAAGACTCATGGGAAGGTATATGTTGGATTATTATAAATTTTGAAACTTAATGGAAGCCCTGACAGTCTTATCTCAAATTTAAAAGTTCAAGACCAATAGATAATATTCACTTTCTCTTGATATTTCAGTTTAAACAGAGTAACTAGGATCATATCTTAAATACACTCCCTGAAATAATGTACAAACTTTTTTCTAAAACTTCTGTAATCCCTGCATTATCTGCTTCTAACTCCATCTTAAATTTTGACAATTCTTGATCAAGTTTTCGTAAATGTCTGTCAACCTGCAATTATATTAACAAATTTTCGAGTATAAAAAGGTATCAAGAAATAACAGTCATAGAGTACTCATCTGTAACACTATTTTCAGCAACAAAATACCAACTGCTGATTTTTTTTTACTTTAACAAGGAAAATCTTTAATGAAGTCTATAATTTTAACCATTTCATGAACTCAATTAAAATATGAGTATTAAAATAAAAAAAATGGCGAACAGCCATCAAAACACGTCTTTATGAGGTAAAGGTTATTCAAATCTTAAGTTTTCTGACGGCCTATCTGGGCCATAGTAGAAAGGCAAATTATGACGTGACATAGGTGACGTAAATTTGTGATTTGCTGCACAGACACTGATGATCAGAAAGACGTATGTGCGTTATGCCATCATATATCGGATACCGATAGACGTAGACAATTTTAAATATTGATGTCAAATTTAACTCTAATATATCGTATTTCATACTTGATATTTGTTTCTGGTTAAACTATAATTTTTATTGATGTAGTCAACTTATATAACCAGTTGACAGTGTTGAACATTTGCTGCTAATACTTATTTGTAAGTGATATTAAAGTTTCGTATTACATGTATTACACACTTACGATAAACAAAACTTACGAAATATCTATAAAATAATATCATGTATACAATCTGTATTCTCCAGGCTTGGTTACGTTTGTTTGTTGTCGTTGTTCTCTTCTTTTTTTGCCATATATCAATCCATGAAGAAACATCTCAAGGAAATGCAGTTCTGATATATTCAGGAGCTACGTGCATGCCCAGTAATAGTTTTAAGTAATTTTTCACCACATTATATTCATCGACATCAAGAGCAAGTGAAATTAGTTTGAATAAGAAACAGAAAGTCATCTGGTATACATGTGGCTAACCCTTTAGTTCACGGTGTCACGAACTCAACATTATGAAATTAGAAATAACTTGCACCGGGTAGATTATAGCTCTTGACATGTAAATATATTTTGACTCGTTAGAGCGTTAAAGTCTCTAATAACAGGGCATATAAAGTTAAATTGTTTTTTTCCCTAAAAATACATGTATGTGTATTTATCCTTTTTCTGTGGCTTTACATGTAATCTAGATATGACTACTTGCGAAGATCACTTGAAGGAATTATACCTTGTACATTATCATTATATGGACAGAAAAATGGTTAGTCAAGATCAATCCTTCTGAACTTTTGTTGATATCCTGTAAAATTGAACAAGTAAACCACCAAGATAATAGTGTAAATATGTTACGTTGACATTGGACGTATATTTGTTATTTTGTAGACAATTCTTTCACAAACATTATTATAATAGACGGTGCCAATGAGATATAGGACGGTAGTTGCTTACTTGGGACTGCACACCGGATTTGTAAAATGGACAATTATTGCACACTGAGCGCTATTTTCTGCAAGTACATACTTTAAACCGGAATGCATTAATTTAAAATGGGACGTGTTGCTTTTAGCTTATATTGGGACATTATGAAACACACTGTTCTTTCAACAGTTAAAAAAAAAGAATATTCATTTCTGAGACTTAGTGTACCTTAAATGACCTCAAAATCATCAGGGATCAAGTAATGACTAATTTCTTAACCAAATCTTAGGAATGTAAGCCCTTTGGTTGTTTAAAAACTTTTAATGAAGACCTTTGACATACAGACATTGTGTTCAAAAGGTGTTACCTAAAAAAGTCACGGACCACCTCCAAACATAATGTTAAGAGGATTTCGGGTCAAAATGGTCATTAGTTATTGGTCGGAGATGCTTTTTAGTGGTCACCGTGACCATTAATTATTGACCTCAAAACCAATACGGGTCATCAACTAGTCAAGAAACAACCTCATCCAAGTCTTGGAATAGGCTAAAGAGCCGATAAACTTTAAGTGGCCATGGCAATTGTGACGTTGCCGGGGGTAATCTAAAGTAATGCCAATGTCCCTACCTAGTTACCAGGGCTGGAATCAAAACTGGTCGTATCCTAAAATGTAAACAAACGCCGCCATCTTGGAACAGAAAAATGTATGTTTTTGTTTATAACTTTTTTGTTGGAAATGACTGAAAACCAGATATATCTATTAACACGCTACACTATTTTCCGCTTCGTTCGGTATATGTTGCTTTAGACAACTATTTTGTAAAACAAAAGTTATAGCGAACTTGCAACTCGAAGCGGAGTCAGAATTTTTATGAAATTGTGTGGATACGACGCAGTTCATATTGCTTTATCTATCGTTTCTCCTTCAAATAAATTATATACTCGTTTTCAGAGTTCACACATAAACTTCAAAACATGATTTTGCATCATTTACTAAATTTTCATTAAAAAGAGGTGTTTATTTTCCAAGAAAATAATGATTTTACGAAAATGATACGACGCAGTTGAAAAAAAAAATATGATACGACGCAGTTGTATTTTCATTGCAGGCTGCATATTTGGTTTAAACTGTTTTTATTATTGCTAGGTATGTTAATAACGTTCCAAAAACATTTTTTGTTTACAACTTAATTCAAAAGCAGAGGTCACTCATTGGTTTCCATAAAAATGAAATGTAATACAATTCTATTAAGGCTGCGTTTTTCCCGTCGCATTTAAGTACCCATCATAAGCATCTACAAATTCCGAAAAGCTGTATCAAATGCAATAAAACATTGAAACACGTGATCGCACTCCCATATGTCAAC